GAGAGAGTGAGCGAGTGTGAGTGAGTGTGAGTGAATGAGAGAGAGAGTGTGAGAGAGAGAGAGAGTGAGTGAGTGAGAGTGTAAGTGAATGAGAGAGAGAGAGAGCGAGTGAGTGAGTGTGAGAGAGAGTGAGTGAGAGTGTGAGTGAATGAGAGAGAGCGAGTGAGAGAGAGAATGTGAGTGAGTGAGTGAGGGAGTGAATGAGAGAGAGAGAGAGTGAGTGAGTGAGTGAGAGAGTGAGTGAGTGTGAGTGAGTGTGTGAGAGAGAAAGAGTGAGAGAGAGTGTGAGTGAGTGAGAGTGTGAGTGAATGAGAGAGAGAGAGAGAGAGTGAGTGAGTGTGAGTGAATGAGAGAGAGAGAGAGAGTGAGTGAGTGTGAGTGAATGAGAGAGAGAGAGTGAGTGAGTGAGTGAGAGTGAGTGTGAGTGAATGAGAGAGAGAGAGAGTGAGAGAGAGAGAGAGAGAGATAGTGAGAGTGTGAGTGAATGAGAGAGAGTGAGAGAGAGTGTGAGTGAGTGAATGAGAGACAGAGAGAGTGTGAGAGAGGGAGGAGGGAGGAGGGAGAGCTGGAGGACAGATGGAGTGATTGGCAGCAGCAGAGAGCAGAGGATGGAAAACAAAAGCCAGGACAAGAGAGCGAGATGAAGAGAAGAGAAGCGTCGGGATAAGACAGCAAAGCGAGCGCTGAGTTCATTTCACACAATCTGTCTCTCAGGGGACAAATTATGTATTTAAAAAAATACATTACGGGAAGTGTAAACGAGATGTTAAGAGGAAAAACAGCTTGTTCCAGCCAGGCGGCAACGTCTGGTTCTAGAGAGTGAATTAAAGCTGCATTCTCTCTAGTGTCCACCAGGGGGCGACTCCTCTGGTTGTATAGAAGTCTATGAGAAAATGACTCTACTTCTCTCTTGATTTATTACCTCAGTAAACATTGTAAACATGAGTTTATGGTCTCAGTCTCTACTTTCAAGTCTTCTTCAATACCGCATGAGTCGGAGGGAAAGACTGAGAGGGCGGCTGCTGTCTCAGCTAATCCTGAGGAGCCGCACTGACTCCGAGTTAAGCAACTTTAAGCCTTTTTATTCGGCTCTGCTGACACACTGTGTGCTGACAGCAGCTCACTGTGAGTCACATCGAGCAGATGAACTGTGAGGAAAAAATGAATTCAATCTTGTTTTGACAACACTTTTAATCCATGTCAACGAGCATTTATAAATACTTTGTCGCCATTTTTAAAAACAAAGAAAGTGTTTGTTTCTGCAACAAATGGATGTTCAATCATATTTTACACAATGAGTTGGTCTGTGTACAGTACTGTCCTGCACTACTGTATGCATTTATATATATATATATATATATATAAATATATATATAAATGCATATAATGTGTGTTTGCTGACAGTGGACATAAGCAGGATGCTGCACATGATGAACATGAGGCATGTGATCAATAGTGAGATCACAATTATTTATCAAGATTATTCATTGATTTTAGGGAGAAAAAGGAAAAGATGGTGAAATATTGAGTTTAAATGTTTAACATATGAAACAACGGTTCGTATGATATCTTACAAAACGTACTCTTCATTTTCCTCCAAAGGTCCATCAACTCGTGTCGTTCTCTGCTCGTTACATGAATACAGTCTTTTCAAAATAAACCTCCGTCGTCACAAGAAACAACGTGGATAGCTTTAGATAAGAGACTTGTTTGAGTTGAAATAACTACACGAGTGCCGTTCTGAATAAATCACCGCTGACTCCTCGTTTCACACGAGGAACAATCATCAGTGTCCTGAACTCATCTCCTCTGCTGCTCGTCCTGTCGGGCTTCAGAGGTCTCCATACTTCCTTTATTCATTGTTACGTGGATAACACACTCAATCATTTCATGGGATATCTACTCAACACGTCACTCTTCTGTAGGTATATTTATGAATGTTGGAGACCAACCTGCTGGACTTGATATGCAGAGTTTTCTATGAGCAGTGTTTTGAATCTCATTACCGTAGTCGCTCGTTTTCATTTAATTGTTGGAAACCAGAAACGCATTCTAGATTAATATTCCATTCATTGTGCAGTTAATCCACAAACCCCCGAGTTACATTCTGTTCTACTGCAGTTCATAACTGCCTGCATGTAAAGCCCTTTAAAAAGTTTATTTATAAATCCAACTTTTCACCCTGAAGCCCAGCGCTTGATGTGTGTGTGTGTGTGTGTGTGTGTGTGTGTGTGTGTGTGTGTGTG